CATGTTCAGGATCAAACCATTCAGAAAAGGAGATCGTGCTTCTTTCCCAGAAGTATGTGAGGAAGAAATGTTAGAAGGAGATTTTTGTTTTGCGTACTAGAAACCTAGAACAGGAAATTGAAGAAGGTGGTGAGGCTATGGCTAATGATGAAGTGTGAACTGGAGAAGAAACGAAACAGTCTGCAGCCACTCCTGCAAACTGGTATAGTTATCACCCAAGGCAGCCAACTGTCCCTGCAGGGCGGCAGGCCCCACTCTCAGCAGGAGCTACACCCCTCTCTCTGCAATGAGGCATCTCCCCCAACCAAGATTTCACCAGGAACCCCGGCGAATGTGGCCCCAGGAGGGAGGAGGGGCCTAATTGTGGGTGAATGGTAGGAGTTAGCACTGGGACAAGGTGAAGGAATGTATTTTCAGTTTAGGTTTGAGGTATAGGGAAACAACCTGTGAAACCCAATATCAATTTGGGAAGTATGGGTGATGACCCCCCACCCATGAGATCTAGGGCTTCTCAAAGCAAAGGAGAAAAGGAGAAACACTCCAGGTCCTCAAAAGCACAGTTGCTTAACATTTGAATCACTTAACCCTTCTAAACCTCAGTTTGTTTATCTGTGAGATAAGAATAAATGGTACCTACCTCTGTGGGAGGGTAAACAAGCTTCCTGTGCTTGGCAAGCACTCTGGCACCCGCTGTCTTACTTAGGGCTTGCATGGGCTTGGCGTTCACTCTCTCTCTTGCTGTGGGCTTCTCCAAGTGTTTTAATACCATTAGCTTCCTTTCCCTCCATGACAGCCCTGTAAACGTAGGCTCCTTCTTTTCCCCATTTTACAAATGGAGAAACTGAGGCACAGAGCCTTCAAACAGCTTGCCGTGGTTATCTAGGAATTCAGTAGCAGAAGCGTGGCTTGACCCCTGCAATTTGGCATTACAGATTGTATGTCTAACCAGTAAGCCATACATGCCTTGTAGTAAATGGGGAAAAAAATGGTAGTTGTGGCTGTGGTGATAACGACTGCAACGTGAAGGTACCATGATTTATCCCCATCATGCAGATAAATAAAATGAGGTTTAGAAGGATTAAGTGATTCAAGTGTTAAGTAACTATGCTTTTGTGACCTAACTTGTGGGGCTCAGGTACCCATCAGAGGAATCCAGACAAATGTCACTAGGCCTACTCCAGTGACAGTCCCTGTGTGGCTGGTGGGAGCCAGAAAAAAGGGGCCCCCCGAGCACATTTGGAGATGACAGATCTAGGGGCAGCCTGATGTGCCCTGTGCTGCTGGGACTCCTCACTCAGGTTACCAAGGTAGAGAAGGCCTCAGTGGGCTTGGCGTGACTCTGGAACAGGGCTCTGAGCGGAGCAACATTATGATAACACATGCAGGACCCTGCAAGAACCCCTGGATTCTCCAGGTGGGGCTGCCAGGGACAGACATTGACACTTGTAGGAATGGAAGCCATTATAGGGCCCCCAGCAATTCACTGTCTTATTTGGACCAGACAGAGGAGATTTAGCCTAAGCAACATAGTGAGACCCTATACTTACAAAAAATTAGCTAGGTATGGTGGCTTGCGCCTGTAGTCCCAGCTACTCAGGTGGCTGAGGTGGGAGGATCGCTTAATTCGAGGAGGTCGAGGTTGCAGTGAGCCATGATCGCCCCTCTCCACTCCAGACAGGGTGACAGAGCAAGACCCTGTCTCAAAGAAATAAAAATAAAAGAAAACAGAAAATGAAGGAGGAGATTGTGGGAGTCGGGACACAGAATGTGAGCTTTATTCCTCATTACCACTTTGAGCATACACCTAGCATGGTGGTCCAGGGAAACACCTGCTCTAGTTTCTATTGAAGTCTATAACACACTAAAACAGCGCTTTGAGTTAAATGTAGTTTGAAAAGCTGGCTCCAGCTCAGCTTAAGAAACCACAGGAGAGTGAAAAGTTTATAAGCTACACCATTACTAAAATGACTCTGGTATTAAGGGATATAGCTCAGATAATTAATTTAATAACTGGCAGAGCAAAAAAAAGTTCTTGATTTTGGAAATGGTCTCATTCATTTACCAAGCAGGTAGATCAGATCTGCTTAAGTTTAAACTCATTTCTTCCTTCCTTTTTGTTTTTTTTCCCCTGCTTTAATCTTCAGTTTGCTTTAGTTTTCTGTATCTATAAATTGCTTTTGGGAAATTGTACTCACAAAATGTTTCAGTATGCAGTTTACCTGTTTTAGTTCCTACAAACATTTTCTATTGTAAACACTTTTTTTATTAATAAAATGATGAGGCCAGGTGCGGTAGCTCATGCCTGTAATCCCAGCACTTTGGAAGGCCGAGGCAGGTGGATCACCTGAGGTCAGCAGTTCAAGACCAGGCTGGCTAACATGGTGAAACCCTATCTCTACTAAAAATACAAAAATTAGCCAAGTGTGGTGGCACACTCGTGTAATTCCAGCTACTTAGGAGGCTGAAACACGAGTATCACTTGAACCCAGGAGGTGGAGGCTGCAATGAGCTGAGATCACACCACTGCACTTCAGCCTGGGCCAGAGTCGGACTCCATCTCAAATAAAATAACGTAACATAAAATAAAAAAATGATTTGAGAGAATAAAATTTTAAAAACGGGGAAATGGAGTGGGAGATAGAAAGGGAATGGGAGTGAGAGCTGCCACAGTGAGCATTTTCGCTGCTCCTTTCACAGCTGCAGTGATCTTTCCAATGGTGGTGGTGTTGGGGCGGGGGAAAGAGGGTAGAGAATCATCCCTAGTCTGAGGCCAGGTGGAAAAAGACAGATGCAGTGAGAGAGTGCCTATGGGTTGATGACAGAATCCTTTACAGCTTCCAAAAGCTCTCGACATTTAGATTCAGGGGGCTTGATTAACTCAACAGGTGGGCCTGCAAGTCTCTAGTGTAAAAGCAGGGGGAAGTTTCATATTTGTCGCAACACATTGTCATGGATCTCTCCTTCCTGCTATGACAGCAGGCAGGGAGCTCTGCTGTGATGACCCTCAGACCTTAACTTTTGATTCCATCCTGTGGACTTTCCGACGCTACCTTGGAGTAGAAGGACCTGCCCTGCCACTCAGCCCCTTGTTCTATAGTGGATAATTTGGCTTGGCAGAGCCTTTAAAGCTTAGTCTTTCATGACCCAGGTCAGGCAGCCTGAGTGAGTTGTACGCATTTCTGTTGTATAGACTTCTGTTCCAAGTCAATTGTAAAATGTTGAACAAATCAAATGGGGGATTACATTGAATGAATATTTAGAATACCAGAATTGCATTCGACTATGAGTAATAGAAACCTGAGAAGCAGTGGTTTAAATAAATAGGAATTTATTTTTCTCTCACAGAATGAGAATTCCAGAAGTAGGCAGTGCAGGACTGATAGGGCAGTTCCAGTTCATCAATCTAGTGTGATCCACATTCTCACATTCATAAGATAGCTACTGTCATTCCGGCTGTCACATTGTGCTCTTGGAAACAGAAGGGAAGATGGGCCAAGTGAAAACAATGCCCAGCAGTTGAGTCAGTATGGTTTTTATTCTCATCCTGTTACTAAGGAGTAAGTGAGAATAGATATTGGATAGGCACCTAGAAGTCTCTGCCACAAGATGTCTGTGAATGCACGAAAATGGGAATTGTTGAAAGTGCCAACTGTAACATGGCAGGAACAAGTTCATAGAAAAATTCAGGAACTCCTGAGCTCTGTTCATGAGCTCCCAAAGGCCGGCAGGTAACACTGATGGATAATAATCCCATTAATCTAGCATATATGACAAGCCTACCTAATAGACAGTGAAAGACATTGCCACTGGAAACACGGACTCCAATTCATGAGGCTGCCACCCTCTACTCCAAGGATGGAACCCATGAAAGGCAACATAGGAATATGTTAGGTAGTATTTGAGTGAACATGCATAGTTTTGTCGGTTTGCATGTTTTGCTTTTTAGGAGACATACATTTAAATGAAAATATTAAGTCAATTAAATTTATATCAACTCTCTCCTCCATCTTCAAGTAAATCTTTCATGCTTAACAAGCTCGTGCCACTAGACAACTAAGCCCAATGAAATGAATTTTTTAGATAACTGAGGCATTACTTTAAGTAAAAATTAATTTAAAAATTAACCAGCAATAGTACCAAATCAAAGCAATAATACCAAATCTTATTGCTTGTTTCATCAACATATATTGAATAATTTAATATAATGGAACGTTGTTTTCTTTTGAACTGACACATAATTGTACATATCAATGGGGTACAGTGTGATGTTTTGATACATGGAAATATTGTGTAAAAGTCAAATCAAGGTATTTAGCATATCCATCACCTCATGGATTTAGCATTTCTTTGTGGTGAGAACATTCAAAATCCTTTCTTCTAGTTATTTTGTGATATACAATATTGTTAGCCAGAATCACTGTGTAACAGAATGCCAGAACTTATTTCTCCTATAGAACCATAATTTTGTACCCATTGACTGATCTCTCCCCATCTCACTCTCCCTTTTTCCTCCCCAGCCTCTGCAGCTGTGAGATCAACTTCTTTAAGTTGCACCTCAGTGAGATCATGCAGTATTTGTCTTTCTGTGCCTGGCTTATTTCACTTAGCATAATGTCTTCTGGGTTCATCCATGTTGCTGGAAATGACAGGATTTCATTCTTTCTTTATAGCCGAATAGTATCCCATTGTTTATAAATAACACATTCTCTCTCTCTCTCTGCTCTATTTCTTTCTTTCTTTCCTCAGGCTATCGCAGTGAAAATACCATATTTTCTTTATTCCTTCATTCCTTGATGATATTTATGAAAAATGCTCAACATCAGTAATCATCAGGGAAATGCAAATCAGACCACAATGAGATATAACTTTACCTCAACTAGAATGGCTACTAGCAAAAAGAAAAAAATAACAAATGGTGGCATGCAGGTGAAGGGGAACTCTTATACACTGTTGATGGAAATGCAAATTAGTACAGCCATTATGGAAAACAGTGTGGAGGTTCCTCAAAAAATTCAAAATACAACTACCATATGATCTAGCAATCTCACTACTGGATATATATTCAAAGGAAATGCAATCAGCATGTCAAAGAGACATGTGCACTCTCATGTTTATTGCAGCACTATCTGCAACAGCCAAGACACAGAATCAACCTAAGTGTAATAAAATGTTTTTGACTGGCTGCTACTTGTGCAGAAAACAACCTTCCCTACCATTACCCACCCCTTCATCATTTGCCCCCCGCATACTCCTTCCCCTTCCCTCTCCCCACATGACTGCTATATCAGGAAGACAAATTTTGGTGGGGGTGCTAAGATATTCCTATTTCATGGAGAATAGGTTAGAACCAGCAGGTATTCAGGCACTTTTGTTATACTTGCATTAAAAAAAAAAAAAAAAAAAAAACTTAAGAGAATCGAAATGTATTTAGCCTTTAGACAATGTAAATGTAAAATGCTCTGGGAACTCTGAACCAGTGATGATGAGTATGTAAATTGCTAACCTGGCTCTAGAAAATGGTTTGGCAGAATCTGTGAAAACTGAACATAGGCATATTTACGGACTATACCATGGCCATCAACTTAGTGACACAGCTTTATCCACAGCCCTACCCCAATGCTAGGACCCAGTTCAGCCTTCCTTCCTCTGTGATAGCTCAGACCTCCCTCCTGCAGTGTTCTCTCCATCAGCTGATCATACGTGGCCCCACCTTAGCCCATCAGAGGCAGGTTCACTGCGGTGAACCTCATTAAGAAAGATTAGGAGACAGGCAGCTGCCTCTCAGTAAGCTCCCCGAACACTGTGTAAACTTTCCCACCCCTTCTCCAGAAACCTTCAAACTCTGTATCATTTAGGATGATGACTTCACCGTCACTATCTAGTACTCTAAAGCCCAACACAAACTGGCTTGTACAATAAAGATGAATAACTGGATCGTGTAACAGCAAAGACCAATGTGGGCTTCCAGCACAGTTCTATCAGAATTCCAGTTCAGTTTCTCTGAGGTCTCTTAATTCCGCATTCTGCTAAGTTGGCTTTGTTCTCAGGCAGAAGTCCCTCATGGTCTTAAGATGTCTGCCAGCATCAACTGGGCTAAGTACCTCCTTCTCAAATGATGAGAAGAGAGCAGGCAGAGGCTTATCTGGATAGAAATGCAGATAACCACTGGATAAAAGCACTGAACTTAATTCTGATAGGACTTTCTGGCCACATGCCCACCTCCCGAACCAAACATTTTGGCAGCAAGATTCCAGCTGCCTGCAGTGCTGAAACCTCAAGCCCCAGTCAAGCAAACCAAAACCAAAACTAAAACAATACCTGTTGTACTTCCCCCAGAATAATAAGTGTCTTACTATGTCTACATCACTCAAAAGGATCCACTCAAATGGCTCATCTCAAAATAAAGCAGGTATGCTCCAAAGTGATTTCACATCCTCATGATGTCTCTGAAATAGCAATGGTTGGCAACTTAAAGTTTCCTTCCTATAACTTCAAGCTCTACCTTATTGCTGCACCAGACTGTAACACCCACCTCCTCCTCCAAAAAAATCTAAGAAAATTTGGTTAGATGACCACATGCCATAGCATTTGTAGCACTGGATTCAGAGATAATAATGGTAATACCTCATCTTTGATTAGCATTTTATAGTTTCCAGTGTGTTTTCACATGCAGCATTTCATTTCATCCCCAGAAGCTGGATAGGATCTGTACTGTTATATCCAGTGTGTAGGTAAGGAAGTGTCAGAGAGATTGAGCGACTTCCCCAAGGTTAATGATCTGCAAGTCAAAAAAAAGAGTTGGTATTAGGATCTAGGTCTTTTCAACACTGAACTTTTGTGAAGACCTTTCCTCTGATCAGTCTTTTGGATCAGGGTACATAATAAGGAAGATAAGAGGCAAATTTGATTGTGGTTCATAAGAATAAGAGACCGAGTATACGGATTATCTGAAGAGACGATTCCTCTGCTGCAGGACTTTGGTGCACAGGAGAGAGAAGACAGAAAAGATCTCTCAACCTTTGCTTCTGCCCTTTTTTAGTTTTCTTTCCCAATTTCCTTTTTCCTGTTTCTTTCTTGAATTCTCTTCTCTGGTGCAACTTTCTCAAACACAATACCAAACACTCTCCATGCACAGGCCCCATGCAAGAATCAATCCTGAAAAGTCACCATATTTTCAGGGGGTTGGGGACAGGCAGGGAAAGGTAGCGGGGAGGGGGACGCTGGATTGGAAAGGGGAGAGTGAGAATGGTAATGGCGAATGAGAGAGAAAGAAATTGGAATCATGAGTTGGCTCTAACCCTGAAGACTGTAATCTAAAATGTTTGTTTACTGTATACATTTTTAAAGAGAGTATCTTGCAAGCAATGTGACTTTGAGCTGCAGACACGGGAGAGGGAATACTCAAAGACTGGGCAGCCCAAACCTACCAACTGAAGGGTTTTGTTAATTATTTTATAGATGAAGACTGGTCAGGTGCTATACAACATTATCTTTTATGTCACTCACTTTAGATAAATTTGGAGTATTTATACAGTCAGCTTGTTGAAAATTTTCTATGACTTTGATCTGCACTGGGTAATACAGAAAGATGCTGAAAACCAAGAAATGTTACAACCAGGAAGACAGTCCTTATCAACTATTTATTCCCTCTGATATGACCGTTTACCTGGGCAGCTCAGATATTATCTTCAAGATCTGTTTAAGGTGCAAAGGACCCTTCTTGAATTGTTTACAACAAGAATTAGATTACATCTCACAGTGATGAGAAATAATTAATCTGGATATTCTTGGGCTGTTGTGGCAATAAGAGTAATCTAATTTGGGCACTGTGGCATGGAAATTAAAACAGAGATTGCAAACTGGAAGGCTCATGGGCCAACTGTGGGCTGCAGGTGGAATGTGTTTGCTTTCCAGTATTTTAAAAGAACAGTTCTGTCCAGGTCACCATTGCCCCACCATTCACATAATACAAACGTGCATTCACACACCTCTTCTCTCATTGCATCCTGTTTGACTCTAAGGTTTCTGAGTTTGAGGCCTTATAAATAAGGAAAGTCATTACATATATAAGGCAATACAGAGAAGAAAGAATCATTTATCTTGGCAAACACATAATGGGATGAAAATTACAGAAAGGCAAATTGAGTTATAAAACCCAGGGGGAAAGTCATTTCCTAGAGAAATGACTGGAATCTGGGTCCATTTTCTGTAAGGCAAAAGTAGCCTCCACATTGGTCCAGATCTGCAAAAGAAGGGATTGAGCTGCAGAGCCCTTTGAGATGATGTTTAATGGGACTGTTTGTTCTGTGACTCTGGGAACTAAAATTGCAACAGAAAATATAATTATGCCAAACAATTGGCTGAAAGACAACATGAGTTAAGTCCTTACAAAACAGGAGCAAAGACAAAGAGCATGACGAAAACAAAAGGGTCACCTTTCCTCATGATAGGTGATGCCTGTGTTCCCTATTCCACCCCGAAATCACCAGCAGGAAGGCACAGAGTGGAGGTTGTCAGGAACAGGGTGAAGGGCAACACAAGGGTATCTTTTAAAAGTCTGACATCTCTATAAAGTTTAGTTTTAAAATAAGGCATTTAAGACCAGAAACAAGCTTGGTAACAGCAATGAGAGGACCTCCCAATAGAGAAGGAGAGGGCAAAAGACAAGCCAAGAGCTTCAGTTCCTGCTGGAGGCCTCATGACATCTCCATCATCAAATCCCCATCCTGATTCTCAGTATCCTCACCTAACGCATTTGGCAAACTAGGATGCTTTTGCCCCTCTAGCCCAGTGTCTGTGATTTATGTGAGCACGGGCCTGCCCCCAGATTCAAGGGGAGAGAACAAAAGTGTTCTATAATCCACAAATTCAAGTATGGATAGAATGTTAAGTGCCAGGACTCTGGAGTCAGACAGAGCTGAGTTCAAATCCTAGTTCCAGCACTTATTAGCTTTAAGGACCTCAGCAAGTTACCTCATTTCCCAGGGTCTTGTTTTTTCTCATCCATAGTTTGGGCATAGCATTTGTCTACCTCACAGGATTTAAGAACTGCTCTGTGTTAAGGCATCAAGTCCAACAGTAGGCACAAAATGAATGTAGTAATAGTTATTTAAAATAATCATTATAGTGAATTTGAACATCTGTGAAAGGGAAAGATATCCTAGTCAGTCTACAAAAGGAGAGCTAGTGTCAGATCTCATGTCATGACTGAACGGCTCCCTGCTTATCTCTGTCCAGTTGAATGGCTTTGCGTCAGCAGAGACTAGGAAACCAGCATCATCAAAATAAATGAGACAAGCAGTTTGTAAGTGCCTGTTATTGGCGCAGCACAGTCATTGCACTAGACCTTAGAAAGAGGTCTCGTCAAAAGTGGATCCACAATCACAGGAAGGAATGACTTGTAATCTATCCAAGCTAAGAGACTGAAGACTCTTTCCTTGATGCTACATAAGAGAAGAACAGTAACAAATTGTTAGAAATAACTTTAACATTGAAAACTGAAATCTTAGCACACTGCCTTATCACAGTGCTGAACTATACACACAACTTTTATTGAGCAGTGCAGGCCTAAAGATAGTTTCTCTTTGGGAGGCTGAGGTGGACAGATCATGAAGTCAGGAGATCGAGACCATCCTGGCTAACACGGTGAAACCCTGTCTCTACTAAAAATACAAAAAATTAGGGAGGTATGATGGCACGCACCTGTAGTCTCAGCTACTCAGGAGGCTGAGGCAGAAGAATTGCTTGAACCCAGGAGGCGGAGGTTGCGGTGAGCTGAGATCGTGCCACTGCACTCCAGTCTGGGCAACAGAGTGAGACTCTGGAAAAAAGAAAAAAAAAAAAGTTTCTTTCCCCAAGGAGGCTACCATCAAGTGCAGAGGCCTCCAAGGAGGAATACATTTACCCCAGGATGTGGGCCAGGCAATACTCTGCAGTATAGTATGAAGATACCAGGCCTTCTATTCCTACGTTTAAAAAAGAGTTTATTTCATAATATACATACTACATTTGGTTTTTGGTTTAGAGAGAGAATCTCGCTCTGTAGCCCAGGCTGGAGTGCGGAGGTGTGATCATAGCTCAGTGTAACCTTGAACTTCTGGGTTCAAGTTATTCCCCCCTTGCCTCAGCCTCCTGAATAGCCAGGATTACAGGGGTATACCACCATACCCAACTAATTTTTTAATTTTTTGCAGACATAGGGTCTTGCTATATTGACCAGGCTAGTCTCAAACCCCTGGCTTCAAATGTCCTCCCACCTCAGCCTCCCAAAGTGTTGGGATTACAGGCGTGAGTCACTGTGTCTAGCCTATAATATACATACGATATGTGAAAAGTAGCACCTGTATATAATTTATAAATAAATATAAATATTAATGAGATCAAGTGGATTCTTGATCAAAAGGTTTGAGAACTACTGGTACACAGGAGATGGAAGACCAGTAAGCCAGCAGTCAGGATCTGATTCAGAGGGAATTTGGCTAGAACACAGATGATAGGCATCCAGCTCAGCAGGGAAGGAAGAGGAGGCAGTTATAGGGAAGGCTTCCTGGAGGAGATTACATGCTGAGTTGCTGCAGTATATTCGGGGGAGGGAATGGGGAAGAGGGAAAAAGAATGTTCCAGGCAGGCTACACAACATTTGCAAAGAAAGGCAAGGTGGCTTTTGTGTGAACAAGTGAATGCATTTTGAAAACTAAAATGGCAGCATGCAGTGGTTCACGCCTGTAATCCCAGTACTTTGGGAGGCCAAGGCGGGTGGATCGCTTGAGCCCAGAATTTGAGACTGGCCTGGGCAAATGGCGAAACTCCATCTCTACAAAAAATACAAAAAATTTGCTGGGCATGGTGGCGTGCACCTGCAATCCCAGCTACTCAGGAGGCCGAAGTGGGAGGATTGCTTGAATCCAGGAAGTTGAGGCTGCAGTGAGCCGTGATCGTGCCACTGTACTCCAGCCTGGGCAACAGAGTAAGATCTTATCTAAAAAAAAAAAAAAAAAAGAAGAAAGAAAACGAAAATGATTTGGTACATCTTGAACTGTCAGTACACGTGGGAAAACTGTAGGAGGTAAGGCTGGGATCAAATTTTTCTGCAGAGATCAATTTTGGTCATTGAAAAGCAGGAAGCTTATTCTGGTAGTGAAAGTTACCACTAAGACATTCTAGCAGGGGAGATGAGATCATGGAGTAGTATTCCCAATTTGATCTTCTAGTCCAATCTCCATTGATACTTGTCTGAGTCCTAGAGGAAACGGACTGCAATAGTGTGAGCTGGTAAAACCTCAAAAAGCTACAACAAAAAAGGTGCTAGTAGCCTTTGAAGTTATAGAAATCCTCAAGACTGTGCATTGCTGTGTGAGAATCAGTGATGCCTAAAAACACATCTTTGGGCAAAAACGGTTGTGCAGTCTTTTACAAGCATTAGTGGCCTTAGTGCCTCCAATACAGTCAACAACAACTGAAGTTATCATCTGAGTGAGCCAAAGCTGGAAAGAAGGGAAATAATAGATACTAGAGCAGCCAAGAGGGTAGTACACGGAGTCCAACCAAGCCACCCCTAGCAGACCCTTAGAATAGATTGAGGAGGACCTTGCAAAGCACCTAGTGCTCTCTCATGTGAGGACAGACTGGGCTTGTCTCATTCAAATTGTATCCCTCATATCTTGCACGGTGGAACAGCACTGCAAGGCTGCACAGATCCCAGGGTCACTGTTCATGCAGTTGCCTATATAAATAGAGCTTTCTGGAGTTGTGTAACGGGAGCCTTGCATAGATGTTCAATCAAGATAGGTTAAAGGCAAAAATGAAATAGTAATTGCTTAGCTGCTTTTGTTAACATTATTCTAAATCTCAGGTTGGGCTGGCCTGAGCAGCAGTGGCTCCCATCAGATTTGGGTTTGCAGTTATCATCTGGATAGCAGTGTAGCACATAACGTAGGGGAATGCATCCAAGACGCTCAATTAGAACTGCAGTGATTGGTGGGGTGTTTTACTATTTTAGTTCTGGAAAAGTCCTAAAAGGAACTGGAAATAAATGCCATAACTACGTATACAGTCAGTAGGCAGGAGGAGCCAGGTGGAGAGCTAGGGGCTAACACTCATGAGGTCACTGGTGGCAACTAATGAGGTCACTGGTGGCAACTACCCATTACTCATTCTAAGGCTAGCTCTTAATCCTAGGCAAAATGAGACTGGGGGACAAAATGAAAATTAATCAGCAGAGAGCAGATAAAGCTGATTCATTTCTGAGCTGGAATAAAATCAATACAGAGAACTTGGTTGCATAAATATTAAACAATAAAACCTGGAATAGACATCATCCTCCTTAGAAGAAGATGGAGCCTAAAGAAGGCATGCCATTGAGCCCAAGGTTGCTGTTGGTGGAAGTGGCAGCCTTAGTATTCAAGAGCCGGGGAACATCAGACATTGTAAGTGTCCACAGACTTGCATGAGCTGAAGAAGACTGAGATTCATGATCTGCTCATTTGACACAGTGGTGACAATAGAAGAAATATCTAGTAAACCTGAAAAGCACGTCAAGAGGGACCTGGAAAACAATCTAAAAAGCCAGAGAAAGCTAGAGTTGAAGGCAGTATAGAGTTAGATTCAAGATAGAATCCAATGTTCATATAGATCCTCTTGCGTCGTTAACAGATGTCCACACAGGACACAGGAAGTGCACGGTTTTGATTATCAGTGTATGCCAAAATAAACCAATTCCTGCATGTGGAGGACAGACAGCTGTATGAAGCAGGATCCTCAGTGTCTTCAGTTGGCTCCATTAGACCAGTGGATTCACACCTTCCGGCAGCTGCCCCATCTCGAGGGCACTGGACATGCTGGATTTGGAGAGACTGTTATGGGATCTCAAACCATTTGTAATGCTAAGTACCACACTGTGGGGCCACTGCACATCCATACTTTGTGCCTACACATTGGGAGGCACTAGGCTCTGGGGAGAGACACATGTTTTCAAGGAAGGCTCTTAAACCCAGAGAATGCTTCTTGTCTACAGCCACTGTCATATCATTCTGACTTCTCAGTTCCCTCACTGTCCCTCTCCTTTCAAATATTTTTACTTCCCAAATCAGACAGATAAATGTTTTTTGCAAGTACAGAGGTATGTCAGTCATCACCTTCTCTCTCGGATGCAATAAGTTGAATTGTTTGTTTTATATATTTTTGTAGCTTAGATGTTGACTTTATCTAAAGGAGTATCCTTGAAACAAACACTTTAAAAATGTAAGTACAGAAAGGTAAGCATGCTATTAGCAATTTTTTAAAAACTTTGCATGTGGTTACTATCTATATATTTGTCCTTCTATTGTTTATCAATGCCTTCTAAATGCACCACGAGTACAGAGAAAAAACTGTGTGCACCTGGGAGAACTTGCTTGATGCCCCTGGCGTCAGTTTACCACATTTCCAAAACCAGTGGTTCTGACAGCCAGAGCATCTTCCAGATCTAAGAGATCATAATCATGTATCTTATACAAAGACCAGAAATGCCTAGAGTATACAGATTTTTAAAAACTAGTATAAGCAGAATGACACATAAACAAAGCTTCAGTCATATATGAAGAAGTAGTAGGGTGGATTATTTTCAGGCAAAATGAACTGATTCCTTATAAAATAGTAATAATTATCCAAGGTAGAGAAAATAATTTTGTCTTAAAAATCAAAATCTTGATTTACTTCGGAAGTTATTTTAGCTCACTTCATTTTTTTAAAAAAAATCTATTTTTTCAATTTGGTCTAGCAAGGTTTTATTTTAGGAATAGTGAAACTGACAGGAGGTAGTAGAAAGCCATGTATTAGTGAAACCCAGGCCCCTTACTTCCTTCATCTTTCACCTGCACATTTCCGGCACTTTCCATCTCGGAACTTTGTTGCCTGAACCACCTCTCCACACTCTTGGGAGTTAATAACTCCACATAGACAATTTTTCCTCCGGAGGGCAGAATTGCTACTTCTTCAAAGCTATTGGGGCTCCCAGATGCTGCACAGTGGGGGTGCCTCACACTCATCTCTAAGAGTGGCTGTTTTGGCACCATTTTTGGCTGAAGTTTTTGTATTGCATTTCCATGTCATTCGGTGTGATGTGTGCCTGCCAGATATTCTGCCTGCTCTCAGTTGAAGGCCTTCCCAGATTGGGCAGCTGAATGTACTGCACAGCTGCCAAAATTCTAATTCAAGATCTAGAATTCTAACTCCTGCTCTTTAGACCCTTGTCTGGCCTTGGCCTCAGTCCCCTGCCAACTGGGTCCCTGGCTCATTATCAGGCCCACCAGGGCCCTGCCCCCTCCCTCATTGGGACCACGAAACCATTCTTGGCACCAAACTGAACTTCAAGACACAGCTGCCCCAGCCCCACCCAAGCCAAATCTCATCTCAGCAAAAGTTTGTCACCTTGTGAGCTGCAAGACAGAAGAGATGAGAAGAGAAAATGATACCGGTGATGGTCAGATCATAAAACTTCCTGTAGCAACAGACATATTACATGTACCTTTACTCTAAGAACTTGCATGAAAAGCAAACAATCCCATTATTAGAAATAACACTAGATAGGGATGCATAGAGTTTATGGAGGGAGGAATACTATTTCTCCATTTATCTGCACCAGAGGGTAAGTGAAATTTGCCATAAGGAAAAATACTAAATTCAGTATGCATATATTAATATTAATAAAAAATGTACTGTTGGGTCATAAACTGCTGATAATGTGTAGTATTTCTTAGGCACCTGAAAACTGCTACTGGCAAATAGACACTTTACAGCAGAAATATGACTGCAACTGGAGGAGGGGGTGGGGACCAGAAAGTAATTGATAATCAGCAAAATGCTGGTTTTCAGGGAAGCTACTAAATTCAACTTAAGTGGTTACCTGGTCAACATTATGGTTTAAATGCTCACAGGATGAAATCGCTTCCTTTTTAAATAAGAGTCACCATTTCCCTCGCCGTAGTTTCCATTCCTTCTAGCCTTAACCAATGCACCGTCCTTTCTGCCGTGGCTGAAACGAGGATGGGTTAATTACCACACCTGAGATGGTGGAGTGGTTGCAGTGGGGTGCTGTAATTTCGGGTGATTAAATTATTTTAGCTTTTGTTTTCCTAGAAGGAGCAGGGAGTATAAAAAACGTGGTACATATGTAAAACACAGGCAAATGCACTTGACAACCAAGCACTCTATTTTGAAATTTAAATAAAGCTAAGATTTTCTTCTGGCCTAGAGGGAAGCTTCATTAAAATCAATTAGTACAAACCTCCGGAGAATGCAGACTTTTTCTAAAGAAGGTTTAAAGAAGAAGGTGCACACAATTACCTTTCCCGGGTCCCCTGTGAATGTGTCACACCTAGACAGGTGGCTGAGTACAAAAAAATGTCCCCGAGAGGGGCCAGGGTAACTCCCTGAGTTCTCCTCGCAGGAAGGTAGGTGTAATTAATCCATGTGGGTGCATTAAGAACGTCATATACATAACCAAGGAGGCTCCAAACAGATGGCACGGATCGCAAGCTGTAAAGGGCAGGCCTAGCGAGATAAAGTTGGTGGCAGGGCTCGCAGGTGAGGCCTGGGTCCGGGCGCTGAGGTTGGGGCCGCACAGCTGTAGCCGCGCGCCCTGGTCCCTCCTCCCAGCTGCGGCGGCCTCCCCCCCGCCCCCGCCCCCGCCCTCCCCGCGCCGCTCCCGACGCCGCCGCCGCAGCCGCCGCCTCCCCTCTGCCTCCCGGTGGCTCCTTGCTCTCCTTCCATCTCTCTCGCCCCCTCTCCCTCCGTCCCGTCCTCGCCGCTCCCCTCACCCCGCCTCTCTCCCCCTCCCCCAGCCCCTCCTCTCCTCACCCCACCCGGCCTCCCTCCCTCCCTCGCCCGCCCGGCGCTCGCAGAGCCGACACCAGGGGGGCTCTCGATGTAGCACCATGACAGGCATCGCCGCCGCCTCCTTCTTCTCCAATACCTGCCGATTCGGGGGCTGCGGACTCCACTTCCCCACCCTGGCCGACCTCATCGAGCACATCGAGGACAACCACATCGGTAAATGGCCCGGGGGTGGGCGGAGGTGCCAGGCGCGCGGAAACTCCTGCCTGGGCGGGGAGCCCCGGAATGGCCAGGGGTGGCCCGCAGGGAGGGAGGCAGCGGGCCGGGGAGGGCGCGTGCGAGCCCCGAGGTGGGGGTGGCGGGATGCGAGGACGCGAGGTGCCGGGGGGCGGGGAGCGGTCTGGGGTGGGAGGGGCGGCGCCCCGAGTTGCCGCCGGGCGGGGCGGCGGCCGGCTGTGGGACTCAGGGCGTGCACGCGGGCTGGAAGTGGTGGGAGCGGGGAGCGCCGGCGCGGGCGGCGGGGGTCGCGGGCGGGGGCCGAGCGCCGGCTCGCGGGCGCGGGGCGGAGGGCGCGGCGGGCGGCGGGCGCTGGGCGCTGGGCAGGGGCGCGGAGTTAGTTGGCCCGGGTGGTCGGAGCAGCCCGAGGCGCTGAGGGCAGCCGGGGGCGGGCGCTGCACGCCGCCGGGCGCTTCCGCCCCGGCTCGAGCTGTCAGGGCTCGGCGGCGGCTGCAGCCGCGGGGAGGTGGAGCGGGGGGGCGGGGGTGGCTCCACCGCGGCAGCCATTCCGCTTCCTCCTCCCGCCGCCGCCGCCGCCGCCACTGCGTCCTGTCAGCGCCGGTTGCTAGGTGTGGTGCATCGAGAGGGGGCCGGGGCCGGCGGCCGCGGGCGGGGGCTCGGGCGCTTGCCCTCTCTCTGGGAGGCGGCCGAGCGACCCGGGCGGGGCCGGGGACGCGGGCCCGGGGGCTCTGGGTGCCCTCCCGTGCCCCGGCCTGTCGCGGACGCCCGGGCGCTGCGGGCTGAGGTCTTGGGTGCGCCCGCGGGCCGCGCCCAGCGCCCCGGGGTCGACGCGCCCTGGAGGCCCTTGCGGCAGCGTCCGCTGGAGAGCCACCCCCCGGGCCCATGGCCGGGGATTTAAATGCACCCCGGCTCTGCGATTTGCCTTTCTAATTGTGCTAGGCCCGAGGTGCGCTGGCTGCGCCCTGGGACCGGCGGCGGCCTGCGCAGTGCCTCGGGCCAGGGGGACGCCGGGGAGAGGGCGCCCCGCGGGGTGGCTACTTTCCCTTCACGCCTGGACCCCTGGACCTTTCAACAAATCTTCTGATTTGCAGAAGTCCTTGCACACATTTTCACACTTCTATTCGGAACCCCTGCTAAGGGAGGTGGGCCGGGTGCATCTGGCTCAGGCGGTCCAACCACCTGCGGAAGGTGTGGTCGACGCCAGCGAATTGTCCTGCGTGGGCTGGAAGGTGAAGGGTCCGAGCGGTGTCCCAGTGGGGCTGTCTAATCCAGAGAACCTGTAAATTGCCCCCAGGAAGTCCAAATGAATGCCATGGATTCAGCCATGTGGATGCAGCTCACCTTTCTACAAAGTTGAGAGAATAAATCACGACTGCTGTGTATTTATGCAGGAATAAAATGAGGCAGAACCCTATGCTCCTTTGCTTAGTATAGTGCTGTCTCTGCACATAGTGGGTGCTTAATAAGTGTTGAATGCCTGTTTAGAATGTGATTTGATGGGCCATCCGGAATAGGAGATAATCATGGGAAACGTCTACAAAATGTCTTTCAGAAGAAAATTCTGTTGAGTAATTGTCCACGTTTTGAAACTTTTCAAGTTTTCAGGTGTCCTTGTAATAGCTTCTTCCATTTCCTCTGCTAAAGGTGTGACAGAAGAGCTGGGCAAGTTTTGGTAGTCTTAAAAGCAGTTTAATGGAGCAACAAATTTGCTGATTCATATCATGATTGAATAGTCATTACTGAAAGTGCTTTAAAGTATTAAATCAGATTTTTCATGATGGCTAGTTTAAAATAAAGCGAAAACACCAGTACTGTGAAGTTCTGGTAGAAATGTTACTAGTTTAAGTTCTTCCCCTTACTCCCAATAATAAGTAAAAAATAAGAAATATAAATAATGCTATAAATTCATATGTATGATATAAGTAATATAAATAATATCTCTTGACTTAAGGAAGGCTGTCATTGCATATCCCATTCATTCTCGCTAACAGTTACTTCAGAATAAACTATAATTTATGTAAGCTGAGTAATAATTTTACCCCATTGCCTGCCTACTTAGACAAGCTGGTTAAAAGACAGTATAAATTCTATTTATTAAAATGTGTTAAAGACAGTTGTCCTTCTTGAGGAGTTTGTATGAGATGGTCTAAAACTTGGTGAGTCATGAGGTTTTTTTAAGTGTAGAAATTGTCCTAATATTTTGCACACATTTTTTTAAGAAGGTTAAGAGTTTGATACATTTTCTAAAACTCAACTTTGAAGTAATGCTATCTCATTCCCAGAAGGCTAGTGTTGTCCTTTTAATAGTGAAAATATGAAAAAATTAAGTTTACAGCAATAGCAGTGACCTAGGCGAACTGTGTTGCAGGGCTAACACAGTTGAAAATAGTTTGAACCAGCAAACTTTATGAAAAGCAAATGTTAAAATGAATGAACACTTGCAATTCCCAGGATGAAGAGGCTCAAACTATTATACACCTCTGCTGGGGAGAGGCCCTTTACTATCAAAGGCAGCCCTATATGCAGAAAGAAGTAAGAATTGATCTTAAGAAAGAATAAAAATATCCCGATTAGTACATAGTGTCATAATACACTTTTGATGAAGAGACATGGGTGAAAATATAAAGCATTTAGTGAAAGTTCTAGACTGGTATTGTTATGTGGTATTTATCGTTTGTAATTCAATCTATAAGAGTTTGGAGACTGTTATTTTTAATGATTGACTTACTGATTTCATGTCTGTTGGTGAGTGGTTACATTAAAAAGATTCAGGAAAAAAATAAGAGATGTGTTATTTTGCTTTTAATTTGTTAAGCAGTCTTGTTATTTAGCAACCATGAGTATTAGAGATATGCTTAGGCGAGCGTTCCATTTTGGGGGCCTATCTGGGTTATTACCTTTAGCCGCTAGTAAAAACCCTTAAACAGCGATAAAATGAACATTTATGGGAATGTGGTGTGTTTCTTGCTTGGCAGATTTTTCAAGGCCTGTATTTTTCATTATCAAAGTATTATGTTTAGTTTGGATTAATTAAGCACATTAAGTTGAGAATAACTCTCTGTTATCTTATACGTGTATGCTTAACTTTTGTTTTTAACTATTTTCTTCTCCCCATAATGAACAAGGATTTGGGGCTTTGGCACCAAGGGAAGTGTGATTTTCACCATCCACTGTTTTAGCTCTTTTCCCTCCTGAAAGGGTGCTGTACTGGTATTCCTGTTTTCTTTCTTGCATTTCACTGCTGGTTCAGTACTGGAGTACCTGTCTCAGTGTACACACTGAATATCCTAGCTAAAACTGTCCCCCATTCCCACTTAAATTTAAATTGCCTAGAAATCCCATAGCCCTGCAACTGTAAAGTGCTTCTCCATCAATTTTGTTATCAATTCATTCATAGGTCTGGGTCTGTTACATGGAGGTGGGAAAAGCAGGTCCGGATTTGCTTGTTTCTTATTTTGAGTAGGTATTTGAGTTTGTAGAAACACTCTTGGTATGAACATCCTAGATAGATGAAGTTAAACTGGTAACCGGGAATCTTAGAAACACCAGGAGCACTAAATTTAGCACTGAAGGTCGTGCCCCAGGCCCATGAAATGCCTGCTGCAGTCCTGCATCCCAGTGCTGTGAAATCGTATGACTTTTCGTCTCAGAAACACAACTGTTGAATCATTCTTATTTATTTGGTGCATTTTAGAAGTACCTCTGCATTTTGAATTTATTTATGTAATAATATATTGAGTCCCTGCTTTATGCCAGGCAAAGTTATGAGCACTTGATATTTTTTGGTTTACAAAATGAAGATACCACTCTAGGAGGTTTATATTCTAGGGTAGGGGGCCAGACAATAAACAATTGAAGTATGTGATATACAGTATGTTGGGAGGTGGTTAATGATACAGAAAAGAGAAAAACTAGAGCAGTGTCTGGAGGGTTGGGAGGAGAAGGTATTGGAATTTTAAATAGATTGGTCAGGGTGGGCCTTGCCGAGAGGCTGATATGGGAGACAAAACCTCGAAGGAGGTGTGAGAGTTAGCCGTGAGGACATTCCGGGAGCCAGCAGTGCACAGGCGCCAAGGCAGGACTGCACCACTTGAATAGAAACACAGGAATCTGACCCAATTCAGTTATTCGTGTGATAGTACCAGACTAGCAGGTCATTCAGAACTCTCCTCAGATGTTAGGACTCTCAGCTTTGCTATTGAAAGAGATTTCCCTGCAAGGGCCCAGTTAAGGGGCAGAGTCTCACTGACCAAGAATGGCTTGCATTAGCTATAACTTGGTTCTTAACCCCAAATATCAACAGGTTTCTTGTTGTGAGTCTCTACTTATTAGTTTCCTCATCTCCAAAACCCAGGTAATAAAGCTATAGTGCTTCATTTCTTTTTTTTTTTTTTTTTGGGAGTCTTGCTCTGTAGCCCTGGCTGGCTGGAGTGCAGTGGCCGGATCTCAGCTCACTGCAAGCTCCGCCTCCCGGGTTTGCGCCATTCTCCTGCCTCAGCCTCCCCAGTAGCTGGGACTACAGGCGCCCGCCACCTCGCCCGGCTGGTTTTTTGCATTTTTAGTAGAGACGGGGTTTCACCGTGTTAGCCAGGATGGTCTCGATCTCCTGACCTCATGATCCGCCCGTCTCGGCCTCCCAAAGTGCTGGGATTACAGGCTTGAGCCACCGCGCCCGGCCTAGTGCTTCATTTCATAGTATAGATTTATAAACCATCTAATTAATAAAGGTCAAAGTTTCCGGAAAGAAAAATCAGGCCACTTACTATCAAAAATATAGAATTTAGCTCCTAAGATGATTTAGTAAATATTTGCATTATCTTCTCAAAGGAGCACCACAGTGTACTAAATAGATAAGTCATACAGTCTGTCATTGGCCCTTATTACTCCCACTTTTAGGTGAGCAAACTAAGGAACAGTTTATAATTGCCTAAGCTTTCGTGGCTGGTTTGTATGATTTGGAGATTTGAATTCCAGACAGGTACGCAAAGCTGA